GTGCGTGGATGAGGATACGATGCGTGCGCTTTACCTGCCCTACGTAGAGTTATAGTAGCTACTGATGACTAAGGTCGCACCTAAGAACGAGATCTACGACGTCACGTCGCTCGACCGCTCAAATGATCGACTATGCATAAGTTGGTGCCAAGATTCCACGTGTGTTTGCGACGCACGGAGCTCAGCATGGATAAGCAAAGTCATGGTTTAGTTGTGCTGGAACTCGCGACAGGAATGGGTAGAAATAACGGGTCGGCTTCCTCGATCAACGACAGAGCCTTGCCAAGGTCTCCCACGGTACCTTCGATTGAAGCAAACGCCCTAACCATGATTAAACGGCTCGTGCGTCTACGAGATCGTTGTCCGCGATTCGCCAGGTTACGCCGCGCTTCCTGCAGGCTTGGAGCTGGCACCGTACGCAGCAAGCTGTCCGGTTGTCAAACGCGATAGACTTCTCGTGTTGCCAACGGTTCCTGTTGTCCCACGTTGGCATCCGACATACAACTTAACAATCGTCCACTTGCTAGACAATGATTGCTTGTATTGCAGAAACGACTGAATTCTCCACGCTCCACGGTTGTCGTCGAGCGTGTTTTTCAGAGTGCTGATTAGGTTCAGCCATCCAACTTACGTACCAGTACCAATGTACGCACAAAGATACTGTCAAACAACGTAGCAACTGCGAATGTGCTGTGGTATCAAGTACTAGTACTAGCAGACAAGGTCCACACCAAATCGGACTCTAGTAGCTGCTTGATTAGCCCACGCCCGTGTTGAAAGAGAGATATGTATGTATACACGACAAAACCGCAGTGTGCGTAAGATAGCACATTGCGAAGTAAGCGTTTTCTTGATGATAGCACTTCAACGTATCTAGAAGAGCCAACGATTATTGTTGTTTTCAATATGTTTGGCCGGACACAAAAACATGTCAAGACAGTTGTCAAAACATGTGGTGCGACGGCAACTAATCGGCCACCATTCCTGCACGCCAACCTTGAAAGCGCGGTTGTCTTGGCGACCGTTCTCCGATGAGATTTACTCATAAATGCCGGTCGCTAAGGGGTTCAAAATTCACAGTTTTGCGTATCTGCCCCAACAACAGTTGGGGAGTAGTCTTTTCAAACATGCAGTGGGCTCGTTACATTTTAAGTGTCGAACTGCACACTAACGATACATCCCTTAGCACTCACCAGCACGAGGGAAAACGTTTTTCGTAGCACGAGTCGAGAGTCTCGCTACGCATGTTTCATTGCTTTGGCTGAGCGGCTGCAAATTGGCTCTTGCTGGCCAAGGCATGACCTCTTGCAAAGGAGGCCTCAAGTGCAGCTATCACCCACGTCCCCCATCATACCGGGCTCTTCGGCTACGTGGATGCAACTAGCTGACGCCACGACACTTACCCCAGCAACAGTCATTCAACCGTGAAAGAGGGACGGTCGTGCTGCCGCAATTTTCAAAACCGGGATTTCTGGCACACATACTACTAGAGTATTATCTTTCGTAGGTGCACAGGCCGGATTGAGGTGTCAAGCAGTGTATTATAAACATATAGCAGCAAGACGACCACCTCATGTATCCGTCGAGCCAGCGGAGGCGACCTTGCCACTCCGCCGCTATAAAGGAATGTAGGTTTTAACTAGCTTTTGCGCCCGGCGCCTGTGACACATGGCGTTGATGTTGTCGGCGCACCATCTGGCGCCAAGGACACAACCAATCGCGGGTCCATCGGCCCGGCGCAGGAGGAAACTCACTTTTCCTTTTGGCCATGAGTTCGCCCACAGGTGTCACGCTTGCGTTCCTCCTGCAGTTCATTGACGACTTTGGCGGCCGCGCCGCCTTTCGGGGCCTCACGACCGAAGACGTCTGCTACCTCTACGTCCTTCCGACGACGGAAGCCGCCAACGCTTCGTATCTGGACCTCTACACGCAGATGCACCCCGACAGCGCCGGCCTCATGACGGCGCCGGCCAACTGGTACCTCGGGCACACGTGGCAGAACCAGTTCCTGGACGTGGTCGACAGCATCACAAGCTTTGTGTACACGGTGGGCGATGTCCGCACGACGTCGGTGTGGTTTTTGCCTCTTTGCCAACAACCAG